TGAGGTCGTCTGGTCTCATGTCACTGTCTTCCCGTGAGTCTGTTTATGTCTATGAATTGGAAAGCTTTATTCCTGAAGTACGTGTGAGTATACATTTCCCGGTAAAATCTTGATATCGGGTGTTGACATATCATCGGCACGCACGTGTACTATTGTTTACCATGGGCCTGTTCGTTTATGCGGAACAACCGGTTTGACCGTTTATAAATGTAACAATTTCGGGTGTAAATCCTGGCGGACCTGCAAATGTGTATGCAGGCCTTGCAAGGCTTTCTCAAGACTCGCCTGAAAGCAGCATCAGATTACTAGGTCCGACCTTATTTAATAAACGAACAACAGTGGTCCGATCGGTTTGACCGTTTAATCGAAAACGGCCCAGCAGGTGTTACTATAATTTGCACTACGATATTGAATGCCCGATACGCAATACGGAAATGACGACACGGTGTACATGCACATTTCGATTAAGATAATTGAGTCCTAGCTGTACTTTTTCCGGAAGTATGTCACGAAAATGGACGCTGATGACGATGTGTCGAGCCACCTTAAAACATTTTACCCAAAAACGCAGAATGAGGGGATGCATTTATTAAAACTCAGTGTGTGTATTTATTTAAAAAAATATGATTTAAATTCTGACACGCATGTGCCAATGGACCCCTTTAAAATGACGATCTGCCAACTTTATGCACGCTTCTTCTTCAAAGGTGAAACATAAAATCGTTAGGTAAAACCAAATGGCGCAATAAATTTTAATCAATGCGATGGAAAGCACGTTTATTGTGTTAACATTACCTCTGACCTTGTCAAACAAGTAGTTTTGTGTAAACATTACCTCTGACCCTCTTAAACACGTAGTTTTGTGTAAACATTACCTCTGACCCTGTCAAACAAGTAGTGTTGTGTAAACATTACCTCTTACCCTGTCGAACACAAATTATTGTGTAAATATTACCTCTTACCCTGTCGAGCACATAGTATTGTGTAAATATTACCTCTTGCTCAGTCGAGCACATAGTACTGTGTTAACGTTACATTTTACTCAGTCTAACACAAAGTTTTGTGTAAGCATTACCTCTTACTCAGTCGAGCACAAAGTATTGTGTAAACATTATCTCTAGCTCAGTCGTGTACAAAGTATTGTGTAAATATTACCTCTAGCTCTGTTGTGTACAAAGTATTGTGTTAACATTACCTCTTACTCAGTCGAGCACAAAGTATTGTGTAAATATTACCTTTGACCCTGTCGAACAGATAGTATTTTGTATACATTACATCTGACCCTGTCGAACACAAATATTGTGTAAATATTACCTCTGACCCTGTCAAACACGTAGCATTGTGTAAACATTACCTCAAACCCTGTCGAGCACATAGTATTGTGTTAACATTACCTCTGACCCTGTCGAGCACAAATATTGTGTAAATATTACCTCTGACCCTGCCGAGCACATGTTATTTTGTTAACATTACCTCTGACCCTATCGAGCACATGTTATTTTGTTAAAATTACCTCTGACCCTGTCGAGCACATGTTATTTTGTTAACATTACTTCTGACCCTGTCGAACACATAGTATTGTGTAAACATTACCTCTGACCCTGTCGAACACATTTTATTGTGTAATCTTTACTGCTGACCCTGTCGAGCACATAGTTCCCATTCGTTTGATTCTGTTCCCATCAATTCCGTCATTGGAATTAAAAATTGTTTAACACCAATATATTATAAACATTTGTGATATCTTATGATTAAAAGGACAAGGGGCGTTAAGGGTCATGTTCGGCCTCACCGGGGATTTTGGAGTAGTTATTATATTCGTAATTTGGAATAAATGAAGTATGCAAATACAAAATTTCAAATTGATTCGACAACTGGTTAAGGAGATATGGCATTTTCAAAATAAAATGTGTGAGTATCGTCTGTTATGTGCTACATGCAACAAACAAATAAATATCTGGCATTCTTAAACATTGTCATACAAGTGTTCATTCTTTATGCATGCCACAATCTAACTTTCCAAAAACACTATAGTTTGGCTATTTCTACGTAGCAACGTAGTTTCGTTGCTATGGAATGGCATCTACGCATGCTTATTGGGAAAAACATCTTCACCAAGAAAGATAGCACCATTTAACCAATATGATGTTTATATAACAGAAATAGGTAAATCAATTCAAGTTGATATCTTTACGTCCAACTTAACCGCAGTGTCTCCGACAGATTGCAGCACGGTAACTTAAAGTATATTAAATCCATTCCATAGTCGAGCTACCGTCTGTGGTAACTGTAGCCAAAACAACACATACAGTGTACACCATGTACTAAGCTTCCTTTAAATACCTAGTGTTAACACTCGATGTCCACATCAAAGTCAAACGATCTGTTGTCCAACAGTTCCCAGGGTAGTGGATTCATTGTAATAAGTCACGATACTGATTTATGTTATGATTATAAATCAGTCAAAACATTGTAAATTGGCAATTTTCCCGTTTGACTGTATTTCTACAAATGTTTCGGAACAATAGGGTCATTCTGTTGTTTAGAAATGGAGGTCTTACAGTGCAGTGAATCTTTGTCTTGTTGTGATTCTCATTCGATTTACGAAATATTTGAATATGTTTCCATACTGTCTTGTTTCGCGAGATCAATTAATTGACAGGCTAATGGATTTTTCAAAAAATCACTGAAACAATCAACCGAAATTATATTCGCGTTAACATACAATAAATGTAACTGAAATTAAATCCAAATTCTCATTCGTAATTAATTCTTTAATTGTTTCACAAAGTAAATGTGTTTTGAACAACAAACTGCTTACGAATGTTTTTGTCTGTGTTTGTACTTATAGTGTCACAGCACAGAAACCGTGTGCAGCCGTGGTGTTCGAAACCATCGACAAGGACAGCAGTGGATACATAGACGTGGACGAATTTAAACTGTGTTTTACTGAAAAAGGTTGGAATGTTTTGCCCATTTTTTTGTTGTTGTAATTTTCGCCATATTGTGTTTAATTACATTTAAATATATCAGATTAAATAACTCTGTATAAGAACATACATGTGGTAGCAAAATACATTGTATTTTTTTCTCTCTTATTTATGTTTTTTATCTAAACAAATTAAAACCAGTTAACTGCAAACGTTTTACAATGAAGAATCATGTTTACAAGCAATGTGTCCCTATTCTTTATTTCTTCAAATAAACAAAGGCAAATCAGTTACACTATCAAAAACATTATTGAAGATGAAATAATTATTAAAGTATTAATGTAAAAGCGCAGTCAGAAACAACTTTCTTCGGAAATTCGGTTAATCTGTTTCCTGAATGTTAGGTCAATAAAATATGGATTCAGATCAGATTGAAATAAATAATAAGTTGAAATAACAGTGTTTATGGTTTAAATGGTTTGGTTTAAGAGATTGGGGGTAAACAAATTGTACTTTGTGTTCATCAACTGCAACTACAAAAAGATCGCTGAAACAATCCCTAAACCCAACAACTAACAAGTGTGGGTTGCTGGTTTTACACTTTACCTTTTACCATTTCTCCACTATGTAACTTTAGTAGACTCTACCATGCATTGATCTGGATGAGACCATTATGGTCAACAGAGTGGTGAAAGGGTTAAGTAGTTTTAACATAACAATAAACGATTCTCAGGCTGATCAAAATATCAAAAAAGTCCACTATTTATCTCGCTTCGTTACATGATAGTTGACCTTTGCAGCAACAGCTGTTATTCTATGATTCCTTTGATCACGATAGCTGTTGGTCACGAGGATAGGATCTCAAGATCAACAAAAACATTAAAAAATTCGTGTCGGATAAATATTTATCAGGTAGGTAAATTCACCACAATTACATAAGGAAATGACAAATTCCATATGTAGTTGTAAGGTACATTGTTTAGAACACAAAATACTATTTAGAGAAGAATCTCTATGAAAACAGATCTACTGTTTAACTGAGCAGAACATTTTAAGTCAAATACTTGGTTGATCCAGGTTAATGAAGACATGTTGGTAATGTGATGGCCATCTTCATGAAATCGTTAAGAAATGTTCTATTCAATTGTGCAATATAAAAATCGACGTTTTAGATTATCCTCATGAGTGTGCCTTGCAGTTTCCTTGACATTACCCTTATTTTGACATTGAAAACCACATTGCTTACATTAGACATGACTGGCATGTCTTGTGTCGTCCTTGAAACAGAGGTCGCTAGCTCTTCCTGAACACCTGGTCTTACAATTTTTGTTCATATTTTAACTGGTGTCATCGACTTTGATTTAAAAAAAACACTTTTTGGTTACATGTAGGTGTTTTCTTAATGTGTTTTAGTAGATTACGCGAGATAAGTTTTTCTGCTCATAGTATTTTATGCATTTATGTGTAGATATTTTTCCTGGAAATGTTACAGTTTTTCAATGCTCCTTATTTCTTAGGCCTTGCGGTCAATACGTTGCACATAACGGAGTGTTTACATGCTTGAATTAAACAATATCATAATTAACCCTTTAATATATTTTTTCGTATGCACCATTCTGCTACTATGACATCGATATTGAAGATTGTAGTCTCAGATGTTATCAGAGGTTAGCCTTTATGTTTTGCAGGGAAGAAAGACATCGATAGAAACGAATTCATGAAGGCTATAAAGGATCATAAATTTGAAAGTAAGTATAATATCATAGTTATAAACTATCCAATTGGTGAGTGAATTTGTGTGATTACAATCAGTTCATAACACACAACTGTGAAATCTGTCTAACCGAACATCTGTTTTAGAAACTTGTGCACGCTGATTTTAAACTAGGTCTAAAAATGTGTAACCTATTTCACAAAGCTCATATTAATCTCATAATTTAATATGTCATTTCTCTTTTTCTTTTTAAAGTCACTAACGTAGATGTATTTATGTTGATATGAACATGATTTGGTTTACGTGATAGTATTTGTGAGAAGTACACTGACGATGGAGTTGTCCGTAAGATATGTTTACGGTTATTTTTCATTAATTTGCTTTAATTTGGTGATATCACTTTTCAACTACCGGTACTCCACTGCAGACCTATCGTGAAACACATAGAGCCGACATGTATCTATAGGTATAAACATGTTGATATATATAGTTAGCTATAATCATACAAAAATGACAGCAGTTCATATACCTGCTCAATCTGGTTATTTCACTTACTGTTGTTGGTTTTGTGTCTATTCAGTTCCTGTTGTTGTCTGTTCGCAGTGTTGTGTCTATTCAGTTCCTGTTGCTGTCTGTTCGCAGTGTTGTGTATATTCAGTTCCTGTTGTTGTCTGTTCGCTGTGTTGTGTTTATTCAGTTCCTGTTGTTGTCTGTTTGCTGTGTTGTGTCTATTCAGTTCCTGTTGTTGTCTGTTCGCAGTGTTGTGTATATTCAGTTCCTGTTGTTGTCTGTTCACAGTATTGTGTCTATTTAGTTCCTGTTGTTGCCTGTTCGCAGTGTTGTGTATATTCAGTTCCTGTGTTGTGTCTATTCGCTGTGTTGTGTCTATTCTGTTCCTGTTGTTGTCTGTTCGCTGTGTTGTGTTCATTCAGTTCCTGTTGTTGTATGTTCGCAGTGTTGTGTTTATTCAATTCCTGTTGATGTCTGTTCGCAGTGATGTGTCTATTCAGATCTTTTTGTTGTCTGTTCGCAGTGTTGTGTATATTCAGTTCCTGTTGTTGTCTGTTCGCAGTGTTGTGTATATTCAATTTCTGTTGTTGTCTGTTCGCTGTGTTGTGTCTATTCAGTTCCTGTGGTTGTCTGTTCGCTGTGTTGTGTTTATTCAGTTCCTGTTGTTGTCTGTTCGCTGTGTTGTGTTTATTCAGTTCCTGTTGTTGTATGTTCGCAGTGTTGTGTTTTTCCAATTCCTGTTGCTGTCTGTTCGCAGTGATGTGTCTGTTCAGATATTTTTGTTGTCTGTTCGCAGTGATGTGTCTATTCAGATATTTTTGTTGTCTGTTCGCAGTGTTGTGTCTTTTCAGATCTTTTTGTTGTCTGTTCGCAGTGTTGTGTTTAGTCAGTTCCTGTTGTTGTCTGTTCGCAGTGTTGTGTATATTCAATTTCTGTTGTTGTCTGTTCGCTGTGTTGTGTCTATTCAGTTCCTGTGGTTGTCTGTTCGCTGTGTTGTGTTTATTCAGTTCCTGTTGTTGTCTGTTCGCTGTGTTGTGTTTATTCAGTTCCTGTTGTTGTATGTTCGCAGTGTTGTGTTTTTCCAATTCCTGTTGCTGTCTGTTCGCAGTGATGTGTCTGTTCAGATATTTTTGTTGTCTGTTCGCAGTGATGTGTCTATTCAGATCTTTTTGTTGTCTGTTCGCAGTGTTGTGTCTTTTCAGATCTTTTTGTTGTCTGTTCGCAGTGTTGTGTTTAGTCAGTTCCTGTTGTTGTCTGTTCGC